GTAACCATGCAGTTTAACCCCTTCCCTGGAAACCCTTATTCCCAGAGAGTTGAAAATAAAACCTTTTTTTTTTTAATATTTTTTTTTCAGTTCTCGGCAGACACAACATCTTTGTTTGTATGTGGTGCTGAGGATCGAACCCGGGTGGCACGCATGCCAGGCGAGCGCGCTACCGCCTGAGCCACATCCCCAGCCCCAGAAAACCTTTTCTTGACATGAACAACAAAATTATTTTTTCATGTGCATTATAAACRTATATAACAGTGGGACTTGTTGTGTATTTGTACATGCACATAATAGTATAATTGGTCACTCTCATTCCCCTGTATCTCCCCTTTCCCTCCCCTCATCCTCTACGCCTTCCATTTTCACAAGATTCTCTCTTCCTTTCATTTTTCCTTTTTTCTTTCCAATTTCCACAATATTTTCAATATATACAGCAAATTAAAACCAAACATTCATAATAACCAAAAAGTGGAAATAACCCAAATGCCCATCAACTATCAAATAGATAAATAAAATGTGTTAAATTCAGAGCATAAACATTATTATAAAGAAATAAAGTACTGACACAGATTGTAACATGGATGAGCCTTGGAAACATTATGCTCAAAGAAACCATTCAAAAAGGACTACACATGGTATGATTCCATTTTTACAAAATGTCCAGAATAGGGTAAAGAAAATAGATTTAGTGGTTGCCTAGGACTTGAATGTTTGAAGGTATTGGTAGTGGTGGTAGTGTTTAATGGCTAAGATGACTAAGAGGTATGAGAATTTGTTTTTGAGGTAATGAAAATTCTTAAGTTGTATATGGTGATGGTTAACACAAATGGGTATACTAAAGGCCAATGATTTACATACTTTTAATGGGTTAACTGCATAGTAGTAAATTATATTCCTCAGTAAGGCTGTTTTTTTTTTAAAAAAAAAAAAAAAAACAAAAAACTAATAAGCCAGGTACAGTGGTGCATCCGGTAATCCCAGCAACTTGGGAGGCTGAGGCAGGAAGGATCCCAGGTTCAAAGCCAGCCCCAGAAACTAAGCAACCTATTGAGATCCTATCTCAAAATATCAATTAAAAAAGGCTGGGATGTGGCTTAGTGGTTAAGTACCCCTGGTTCAATCCCTGGTACATTAAAAAATATATATATATATTCACTCAATCTCCTTTCTAGTAAATAATAATATTCTCAAGGAATTTACAAATTTAAAAATTATATAAACAACATATAAAATATACTGTAAACAAATCATTATAATATGAAATATATTGTAGATGGAAAATGCACAAGAAGGGACAATAGGGTCATGGTAGTTCAAAGATAGGATTAGCAGCATGTGAGGGATCATCAGTGAGAACATCATAGAAAGGATCACATTTGAACTCAGTGATGAATGTTAGGTGGAATTTTTTCTTTTAAGCAGCTGGTAGAAGCCAGGGGTGGCAGCACAACCCTGTAATCCCAGCAACTTGGGACATTGAAGGAAGACGATCACAAGTTTAAAGCCAGCCTGGCAACTTAGCAAGGCCCTAAGCAATTTAGCAAGACCCAATAAAAAGGGCTGGGGTTGTGGCTCAGCGGTAGAGTGCTCGCCTCACATGTGTGACACCCTGGGTTTGATCCTCAGCACCACATAGAAATAAATAAGTGAATAAAGGTGTTGTGTCCAACTACAACTGAAAAATGAATATTAAAAAAAAAATGTAGGGCTGGGGCTATAGCTCAGTGGTAGAGCGCCTGCCTCGAACATGTGGGGCACTGGGTTTGATCCTCAGCACCACATATAAATAAATAAATAAATATGTTGTGTTCATCTACAACTAGAAAAAATATATATTTTTTTTAAATGCAAAAACTTTATAAGATCAGAAAGGGAGACTATGGTCAGATCATGGAGATAATTAAATTATGCTAGACAGCAGGAAATGCTGGTTAATTGAAGCAAGGCAATAACATGATCCTACTTATTCAGATACATAAACTTAAACAGAATGAATCGGAAATGAAGCAAAATAGAGGTTTGATAGGAAATTATTGCAGTACTACAGGACTAAAATTGTGGTGCACACCTTAATTCCAGTGGCTCAGGAGGCTGAGGCAGGAGGATCATGAGTTCAAAACCAGCCTCAGTAACTTAGCAAGGCCCTAAACAATTTGGCAAGTTCCTGTCTCAAAATAAAAATTAAAAAGGGCTGGGGTTAAGTGGTTAAGCACCCTGGGTTCAATACCTGATTTAAAAAAAAAAAAAAAAAGATTAAAAAGAGCCAGAACTGGAGGTCTTGACAATAGAAATGGAAAGGGGTGGGGCAGGGGAAACTGAAGTCTTTGGGAGGACAGGTAAGGAATTATGATGAGTTTGGCTTTAGACTTTGGAACTCTGATCTTCAAGTGATTAAAAATATGGTACCAGGAATGAAAAGAGGGATCTTAATTTTATAAACATAAACATAGAAAATCAAATTTTTTCATTAAGTAGCAGGGTTTATGCCTTGAGAGCAAATAATATTGCCAAGAAACATAAACATTAGTAAGATTTTAATCTGAACTATATATCATGCTTGCTTATATAGTTCATACAATCTAGTCCTTATTGAAATATCTAAWATTTCAAATTGTTCAGTGAGGTTTTACCCCAGTTTAAAACAAGAGGCAAAGGAAAGAAGACCAGCTAAAATATATATGTTCTACAGCAATATCAACACCTTACCCCACTGATAATATCTAATGTCTCAAAGAGCTCAAATACCATATAGCTTACCCTGTTACCGAAAAATGTTTAGATGCAATTGTTTATTTTTAGATCAGAGTTTAAGAAATATTTTCAAGGTTATACATAAAGGTAGAACTTAGAATTCCAAACTGTTCAATAAAGTGCTCAGTGTTCAAATAACATTATTATGTACTATGTCCTATTGTAAAATATAGGCCCCAGCAACCTACCATTTTCTCATTCTTCAACAACTAAATAAAGTAAGGCACAGAGCGATTACATCATGAGTAATGTTAGAGCTGGGCCTAGAACTTGTCTCCTACTTCACAGTCCACCACTTTTCCCTAAACACCCAAGGGCTCAAGTGTAGTGTCCTTTTATTTTAAATTCCTGTATTTTGAGAATCTGTAAGGATAATTATAGAGCTACTAACTAGATTGTTTTTGATTTCTACTTGGAGAAGCACTGACAGCATAACTATTTTATAGCAAATTCCCAAGATTGTGACCTACAAAAGCTCTTCACTATTACAATACAAGAGATCTGGACTTGATTACCTTTCTTGGACACCATGTCTGGCTAATGAGATGCTACTGCAGAAGCACAGCATGAGTTTGAGGTAAGTTTAAGGAAATTTTCTGCGCACTCAAAAAGCAATCTGGGGGCTGTGGTTGTGGCTCAGAGGTAGAATACTTGTCTAGCATGCGTGAGTTTGATCCTCAGCACCATATAAAAAAAATAAAATTAAGATGTTGTGTCCACCTATTTTTTTAAAAAAAGCAATCTGCAGGGCTGGGGTTGTGGCTCAGTATAGAGTGCTTGCCTAGCATGTGTGAGGCACTGGGTTCGATTCTTAGCAGCACATATAAGCATTTAAATAAATAAAGGTCCATCAATAACTAATAAAATATTTTTTTTTAAAAAAAGCAATCTGCAGGGCTGGGGTTGTGGCTCAGTATAGAGTGCTTGCCTAGCATGTGTGAGGCACTGGGTTCGATTCTTAGCAGCACATATAAGCATTTAAATAAATAAAGGTCCATCAATAACTAATAAAATATTTTTTTTAAAAAAAAGCAATCTGCAACCCCTAAGTCAGGCAGGGTGGTACAACTGTAGTCTTAGTTACTTTGGAGGTTGACACAGGATTGCTTGAGCCCAGGAGTTTGGGGCCAGCCTGGGCAACATACTATTACCTATTTCAAAACCACACACACAYACACCAAATAAAATAAAATTAAAATAAAACTTTGAATGACCATTAAGGTGTGGTGATAGGTTCATTAAAAAATAAGACAGTAATTATGAACAAAGATAAAGAAGAATGCATGCACCCACTCAGAAATCTTTACTCAAACAGTGYCTAGAAAGGACAACTGGACCAAAGAAGCATACAGTTATGTAACTGTCATAGAAAACTTAAGATTTTTATTATTTTGGTCAAGGCCAGACAAAATCTCATCTCTAGCAGGTAGCAAAAATGACAAGGCTTTCCATCTAATTTAAAAACTTTACTGCCTCCAGGTATTATCCGTTAACCAGGGCAAGTGTTATTCTCTTACTGGCATATTCTGCGTTAACCAGAGACTAGAAATCTGAAGTGCTTCTCTAACAGGTCATCTAAGCAAACTTTGCTGTGTTTCTTTTCTCATTTTGGGATCATGGCTTCCTGCAAATTCCCTCAGAGATGAGACAGGTAAAGAGCTGCCTTTTACAGTGCTATTCGATCAGCAGGAAAGGTTAACTAGACTCTAATAGATGATCACTGTCAATGTCTCCAAAGGGGGACTGGATACAAATACAGGCCTCTGGGGAGAAGGAAAGCTAAACCCGGCTGTGAATTAGGTCAACTTTGAGAGTTACTGCTCTACTGTACCAAGGCGACTGAAAACCTAATGCTTACTCATCCCGAAGTTACCCAGGTGTTCCAATCCCAGGTTTAAGGACCAAAGGCCCAAAGCATTTGAGTCAGCTCCACCCACCCAGCTCAACTGGGTTACACTCTGGTAAAAGCAATCCTCTCCTCACCATAAGTAGAAACCAGGCTGGGGCAAAGCCAGGTCGTGGGCGCCGCTCACCCACTGCATATCCGAACAAGCACCCTAGGGACGCTGTCAACACCCAGAAGTAGAGCAGATGCCCAGGCTTTAGCTCACTGCAGCCGGCATTGTTTACGCTCTTTCACTGCCTTAGCCTATGATAGGCCAGGAAAGTCCCCAGTACGGTCCACCAGGACTTCCGGCACGGATAAGGGGGTATTTGCCCCTCAACCGCAATCTGACACTTACGCTCCCAAGCAGGGAGAGGTCGGGGGCCCTAAGGTCAGAGCAGGATCAGCAGGAATACCCAGCAGGCGGGCGGCGGAGGCATTGGTGCGGCGGGGCCGCTGGGAAACGCCTCCTCCGGGGGCGGGGCCCGGAGCACTGCTGTCAGTGCCCGCCCCACCCTTAGTGCCTCTCCGCGAGCACACTAGAGGTTTAAAGGGGCCGCAGCCTACCTTTGCCCAAAGGTTTTGCAGCCCTAAGGGTACTGCCTCCAGTCCACAGGCAAGAGGCGAGAGCAGGATCAACTATGAAGACTACTGCACTTGAGTCCACCTCCTTTTTGGTGGAAACACCGGTAATGGTCCAGAGACAAAGGAAATGACCAATTCCCAATATCACAATCCTAATCCCTCCTCCAGGGGTAAAAAAAAAAAAAAAAAAAAAACCAAAACAAAACTGCAAGTAACAGCCAAACTACCACGGCAAATACACAGAACCCATTTTATAAACTGCTCTTTTAACTTTCCTTAAAATTGAGCAAGTCTTCAAATGGCAATTCAAATACCCATTAAGGAATGCCAGCAGCCCCCAATGCCTGACCTTACTCTTTCACAGACTRTTCTATACAACAAGAGGAACTGTAGGCAATGATATCAGACAGGCATAAAGGTAATAGGAAGTAAAATAGAAAAGTACTCCCCCACCTTTATGGGGTACCAGAAATTGAGTTTAAGGGTACTTAACCACTGAGCCACATCCCCATCCCTTTTAAAAATTTTGAGACAGGGCCTCGCTAAATTTGAGACAGGGTCTCACTAAGTTGCTGGAGCTGGCTTCAAACTTGTGATTTTCCTAACTCAGCCTCTCAAGTCGCTGGTGTGCACCACCACGCCTGGCTATCTCCCCCTGCTTGTGAATGAAATGTGACATTTTAAAAAATGGCCAAGAATTCACTATGGCTCTATGTAAGTAAAGAAATAGTGCATGCAAAATACAATTGTGATGTGCATTCATCTAATTTGCCATGAAAAGTTACTGAGAAAATGCATTGGGATCTCAAGGAGTTAGGTCTTGACCTTTGAGATCTCCAAAGGTTATTAACAACTTTCAATWTTATTTTCATAAAAACAATTTCTGCATTTTGTCTCTTCTTTATACCAAAAGGAAAGAGATTTATGTACTTTTAAGCCTATATTCCCCCCCATGGTCTTCAGATAGATAAACATATCTTACTGAAGTCTTAGGCCATTAGCAAACTAGTGTGGGAATCATTTCAGTGAGGCTAAAGACCATCTAACCTAACATCTCCAGTCTGAACAGGTGTGACCAGACTCAGCTATTTTCTGGTTACAATAGTATCTACCTCAGGGTTATCAAGACAATTAAATGAATTAATTTTACATTTAATTAATTTTTTCTATTCAAGTAGAAATTTAGATTCCAAAGGACAGACATTGAAACTAGGAAGGAGATTCACTGAGGTTGTTACCCTTATTCAGAAGGTCTCAGAAAATTCTAGGATGAAGTTGTAGGGAAGAAGAAGCTGATTAGGATTAGAATAGTCTGATTTTGACCTGCCAAGACAATCTCATTCAATGCATTTACTGTGAATGATACTTCTGAATTAGGCAATTAACACCTCTCACTACAACCTCATCAAGTTTATCACTGTTCTGAGGGTAATGGTTAGCAGATCAGCCTTCCTCATCATATTTTGAGCACCTCTAGGGCAAGGACTGGACAGTATCTTAATTATCATTTCCTTCCAGTGTGATACAAAATAAGTACTCAATAAATATTTATTACAAAAGAGGGCTGGGGTTGTGGCTCAGTGGCTGAGCACTTGCTTCACACATGTAAGGCACTGGCTTCAATCCTCAGCATCACATAAAGATAAATAAACAAAATAAAAATATTGTGGAAAACAGCATTAAAAACAAATATTTACTATAAAAGATATGACCAATGCTATTATCTAATATTTTTATAAGAGTGCAGATGAACTTCAATAAACATAAATGCACACACACACAAAATGGATTATATATAGCGTTACACTTTCTAATGAGTTAAAAATTAGAGGGAGAAAAAAAACCCCAYAGATTCACTCTCATAGTTCACTCTCAAAATCAAAGCTTCAAAATTATTATTACAGGGATTTCTATCTCTGGTCCATTTTATATGGATATTCCTGAATAACTCTTGGATTTTCTTTTTCTATTTTTGCCACGCTGGGTATTAAACCCAAAGCCTCATGCTCATTCATGCTATGCAAGGCTCAACCACTGAGCTGTATCCCCAGCCCTATTTTGGTTATTGCTTCCTTTTCTTTACTATAACAAAAGAGACTAAATTGAATATATAAAACCTCCATAGTTCAACAAATTACTGGGCAGTAATTGTCTCCTTAACATAAGGAATGATTTGGTAAATATTTCACATGTATATAATAAACACTGGAAAACATGAGGAAACAATTCATGTATTAGAAGATGGCATTTCTAATGCTTTTAAAAAAATCTCTACACCATAATTTTTTTCTGCTTAGTAAGAAGCTGGGTGTGGGATACCTCTGTGATCTTGGCACCATGGGAGGCTSAGACAGGAAGATGGTGAGTTCAAAGTCAGTGTCAGCAACTTGACAAGGCCCTATGAAACTCAGCAACACCCTGTTTCTAAATAAAATATAAAAAAGGCCTGGGGATGTGTCTCAGTGGTCAAGCACCCTGGGTTCAATCCCCAGCACACACCCAAAAAAAGTTATAGTTGAAGAAAAAAAAAAAACATAAAACATACATAACCAGCACAGGTAAAAGAAGTTTACGCATCAACTGGAACTCTTYACCATATAATATTCAACAACAACAAAAAAAGCAGTCAAATATAGACATTAAGGCGATGGATTCTGCAGCCAAAACGAGTTCATTTATTTTATTTTWAAAAATATTTTTATTTTAGTTGTACACAATACGTTTATTGTTTATTTATTTTTATGTGGTGTTGAGGTTTGAACCCAGGGCCTCGAGCATACTAGGTGAGCGCTCTACTACTGAGCCACAACCTCAGCCCCAAGTTCATTTATTAATGGCTGTACCATTTATTAATGGTGTGGCTGTGGGCAAACTCCAACCTTGCTGTGCTTCTTTTGTCTATTTATAAAATGGGAAAAATAATAAGTGTAACAGGATTTAGAGGTGGCTTTTGCTAAAAAGCAATGACTTCACTTGGGCTTGCAGATATCCAATGGATAACTAAAAGCAGTATAAAAGCTTAGCATTTTTGTCTTCATTTTACATCTGTCTCCTTTGCTACCTTAAATTTTGGGTCAGATACCTGTTCAATTCTACATGTAGACATGTTAATCACTTAAGGAGCATTCATGTAAAACTCATATTCCTCCCTTTTCAAGGTTGAATATATCAAGTTCAGAGTAACTAAAATGTTTTCAAGATTAGAAGGGATATCATAATTAGTAGATTGTCAATAAACAGCTTGTACAATGTCCTGTTCCAGACCATTGGAGCAGAGCCTACAAGTCTCCAGTCATTTCCCTAAACCTGAAGGAGGATTCAGTCATTATCCTAACTCCATCTTGCCTTTCAGAATTGTTCTTTCTTTGAGTCATTCTCTTCTACAATCATTTTGGATCACAGGTCTGATACCTGTGACAAGATCTGAAAATACTCCCAGGGAGCAGCAACTTCCTTATCCCTAACAAGGCTGTACATGGCTGATACTGAGGTAATGATCAACCATACCACAATTTGATCAAGATTGTTGAACTATGAATACCCCCACCACCTTGTTCCTTCCCTACATAATCCTGAAACTTTTGTCAATAACCCAAAGATAGGGCTGAACATGCTGATCCTCCCAATGTGGCCACACTAAGAATAAAATTCCTTTCCTTTGTTCTCCACCACTTCTGTCCTATTTGGTTAATTGGGGAAAATGGCTGAGTCTGGTCCCAGAGTCAGGGGCCACTGACCTAGGACTCTGGTTACAATAGTATCTACCTCAGGGTTATCAAGACAATTAAACGAATTAATTTTACATTTATAAAGTGCTTATTAGAACAATGCCTAGAATAAAGTGCTACATGTTAAATAAAATATATTATGTTCAACAAATATTGTCTAGTTTATCTACCATATTTCTTTTAACGCTAAAAAGCAAATATATAGCCCCCTCACACTGGCTGCTCCAACTTCCCAGTGTTCCCAGCTGTCAGAGCAGAATAAATCAAGGATTAAAGAAGAGAGGGGAGCCCGACATGGTGGTGTATGCCTATAATCCTAGCAGCTCGGGAGGCTGAGGCAGGGGGATCACGAGTTCAAAGCTAGCCTCAGTAAAAGCGAGGTGCTAAGCAACTGAGACCCTGTCTCTAAAAAAAAAAAATACAAAATAGTGCTAGGGATGTGGCTCAGTGGTCAAGTGCCCCTGAGTTAAATCCCTGGTACCTTCCCCCACTTGCCAAAAAAAGAAAGAAGAGAGGGAAGATTCCCTGAGCCACGAGCTTTTATACTAAGTTGAGTTTACTAAAATATAAATCTTATACAGTAAAATCCACTCTTTACAGCATATAGTTCTGAGCTCTGACAAACACACAGTCACATATTCACCATAATCAAGACTACCTTATCTCCATCAGTCCAAAATTCCCTTGTGCTCTTTGTACTCCTCTCTGCACTCCTAGGACCACTGATTAATATTCTTTTCTTACAGTTTTATTTATTTATTTTTATTTTTTGCTTTTTCCACAGTATTATAGAAATGACACCAGACAATATGTAGTATTTTAAGTCTGGCTTCTTCCATTTGATATAATACAGCTGAGATCAAGGGTGGAGCATGGTTCAGCAGTAGAGTTCTTACCTAGCATGCAGGAGGCCCTAGGTTCAATCCCCAACACTGCTAAAAATAAATCAAAACCCCCCCAAAGCACTGACAGCATCCATGCAGGGGCACATAATAGCTGTTTCTTCCTCTTTATTGCTGAATAGTATACAATATGTGATATAAATACATTCCTTTACCAGTTCAAGATATGTGGGGTACTCCCACATTTTAGCAATTAAGAAAAAACTGCTCTCATCCTTCTCACATGGGTTTTTATATG